AGGTTTGGGTCTGCACACTCGTCAACTTTGTTTTCCTCCTTGTTGTTGTTGATCTAACAAATCATATTTCGCAATCTTTGGGAACTGAAAAAGAGAAACAAGGAATGATTCTAACCTTCACTGTGAATGCTATCGGCGGAGGGGTAGGTTTCAATTTCAATCTGAAAATCATTTTTGAATTTATCATTTTTGATAAGTGTTGATTTGACGAAATCATCTACGCTTATAACTTTAGTAACTCATAAATTAGTGCAAAAGTTGAGTTTCGAAAATTCCAGTTTATTATCTAGAATTAATATTTGCTCACGTTCCCCTTGCTTCTGCGTTTCTTATAATGTAGTACAACAAATCCTCGATAGCTTGGACCTGCAATTTTTCGTCTTTATGAAAAAAGACCCAACAAATAGACGTGTACCTTTCTACTAATACTAGACAAATTGGAGAGTGTTAAACCAACTATTTCCTCAAGCTTCTTGACATCTTCCACACTCACCTGAATGGCATCACATATTCCGACAACTGTTATTGAAAAACAAATCCATGAGCAGGGAGAAGCTCACCTTGTTGTCTTCAGCTCTGTCGATAAAGGAGGGAATCAGTTCCAGATCATCCAAACTTTTTCTGACTAATAAGGAAAGCGTGGAATTCGTCTTTTCAATAGCAATGCATTCATAGCGTAGATCCATGTTTCTGGAAGAGAAAAACAAAATCCGCAATGTTCGATGTATAAAAATATTGGTCTTCCAAACATTATATTTGAGTTAATTTAAGCCATTGCTACAGTCAATAGGATGCATGTGTTAGATGCAGGTGAGTTATATACGTCTTTGTGAGTAAGTTTATCTATTTTAAAAAATTGCTCGATTCCGAACCTCATCAAAATCATATCAAAGCATTATATCGTTGATACCATAAATATCTTTAATTTCCTACCTCTGCTCAGATTTTTCAGACATACGTGAAAGATGGAATTTCATCTTAGGTCCCGAAAATGGCGGTAAAGTATCACAATGCTGTTCGCCACAGCGCAAGAACAAAGAAGGAAATAAGAACAGTATAAAATTTTCCTTACTCAAACGAAAAAAATGAAAAATGAGAAAAACAAAGTTCATAT